AGTTTTTTTTGCCAAATAGCGTTGATAAAAGCACGTAGTTTTACTTTAAAAAATATGTAGTCACTGCCCGCTTCAGATATGTGATCGTACTGCAATTTAAAAAAAAATCGTACCCCTATAAATTCTCACTGTCGTCTGTCTGTGTTTCTCTCTCTCTCTCTTTCCTTTATCTCGAGAGCGGTGATAGATAGTTGTAGTATAGTGGCAAAAAAAACCTACTTAAAGCCAGCTGTATGTAGGTTTTTCGCCATTTCGATATTTTCCCTATACCCTTCTCTATACCTTTATCGAATTTTTGTTCAAAGATACCTTCCTCTTTTTGCAGAATATCTATTTAAAACTCGCGACCAAAATTGAAATTCACAGGGGCAGGAGGCTCCGTTTAACTATATTGGAGCTTTCGATGCCAACTGGAAGTCACGTAATTTCAATTCATATATTTTCTCTTGAAAGATATTAGATACATCACTGACACGACTCAATTGCTAAAGGAAACATGATGTACTGGGGCCAGCCACAACTAATTTGAGGTGGATAACATATATTTTAAATTAAGTAAATTAAAATTATGATTAAAAATTGAAGCATGGCATTGTGAGAATGCAGGGCTGTAATTTTTGCAATTTCCTTTTTGAAACCTAGACTTACTGTCACGGGTGTCTGACTAAAGAGGCAAACATGCCCTAGATCTCTCATTCTAACCGAGGTTCAGGTGTAGAGAAAGTTGTATGTTTCTGTCCATTCGTTAAGACAGTTGGAATTTCGGTCATTTGACTGCATCCCCGAGATCTTTCATTCTAATCGAGGTTGTAAGATTTTGTCAATTTGTTAAGATGTACTAGAATATTGTTTTCTGTACTTCACTCAGTAGGACGATAAAATCGCTTTAAAAAGATCGACTAATGTGATTCGTGTAATAAATACAGTACTGAGAGGCTGAAGATATATCAGGAATGTTGACAGATTGCTTGCAAATTATTGCCAGGTTATCATCATTTTAGTATCTAAATTTATCGAAGTGTCCATTTTCTAAGAATTTTTTAAAATAATACTGAATTAAACCGTTTTATTTACTTCAAATTTTCCCAATAGTATATTTTAAACAGTGGTGGAAGAGCCGTTCCCTTGTATTTTCTAAAATATAAATACATATCGTGCGATTATTTTCATATTTTAACGTACTTTGAACTAATTAAAATTAATATTTTATCATAATCGCATTATGTATCATATTACAAAAAACGATAAGATTGCTATTGTATATTCGAATATAAATTCGTATATGTATATTCCCAATGGAAGTTCTGTGTTGTCGATAGCTTCCATGGCAAAAATATTTGAATGATGTAAAGCAGCCAGATTATACACATTCGCGCATGAAAATTACCGAGCACCAACCTTACGCAATTTAGCTTGTTGATACTACATACCAAAATATCGTATAATGCTTTCAACGATTCTATCCAGAACCGCGTCTTGGCTGTTGGCAGCCTGCCTGCTAGCTATTTGGCTGCCCTCACCCCATTATGTGAATCGTTTATTGATATGATTTTATGATACTTCTGTATAGTTAACAAAAGTTTAAAAAACAAAATCCATTAAAATATTTGATATATTTATTGTGCTTATATTCGGTTCGCCATCTTGTATTACTTACAGATTTCAATGTTAAATAGTTTTATTACGATTTCGTACCACGGTACTTGTGAATCATTGTCCCAGATGGTGGCTCTGCCCTGGCAACCAACATTTCAACTAGTATCTGTATCTCCTGGAAACAAATTGACTCGGCCAATCAGCCTATATTAAACAGACACGTGTTATCGACTCAGTCTTTTTCGTTATACGATTTATCACACGAGCAGGAAATAGAAAAGGTTATTAACCGCTGCGAAACTCATTACCCATTTCTGTATTTACTTATTTGGGAAATTATCTCTGAATCAATTATCAACCCAATATACGCGAGTTAAATCATATATTTAAATATAAACATATTTAAAAATATATCGATAAAATTGAAATACGAACTCACTTCTCGGCGGAACAACTTTCATTTAACGTATATTTGTCCTATTGCTATATTTTTTTCGTCGACAAGCTAACTATAAGTCAGAATTTAAGTTATAATGTACAAATATTTACTTATTTTCGAGCGAACGTTGTGCATTCTAGAAGGATTGCAATGTTGAATATTTATTGCAATCGGTTTGTCAGTTGTATTAGAAAGATTTAAAATGAAAGACCTTCGACTGAAAACTCAGCTAAAAAAAGTCAACAATTCACTTTTGTAACAATGGAGTTGAAAAAGTATTGTCCACCAGTGTAACAATAAACTTTCTATTGTTAAAAAAATGAAGTTTTGTTTCTATTAATTTTGTATTACAGTTTTTTAATTTTTTCATGGATTTAACGAATTCTTGAAACTGATACACCTAAAAAATGTATTTAGGCCTATATTGTTTTTTTCGTCGACAAAATATAATTTATATATGATCCGGATAATTGAATTTTTTTGGATGTGGATTTTATCCGTTTTCAGTTTATAATATTGTTAGAAAGCTAGCAGACATACAATATATAAAGATATAACATTTGGATGGTAAAAAAGTAGACTTTTTGTGTAACAAAAATCATTTTTAATGTATCTAATAATAGTCTATATAAAACGCGGTATAACCTGGCAATCAGCGAATTTACAAAATCGTTATTTGAGGCGCTGCTATCATCAAACGGCGAATTTTACAATTTAACAATAGGGTTACTTACACGGTTAATAACCTGCATCTAGTGCTCCATAGCTGCTTCTAAATCTACTAGTTCATGTCATTTTTTTACTCAGCTGCTTACAGCCAAATTTTAATGTAATTTGTATTGGATCTATCGTTTAACCACTGGGTTAGAATGAGTATCAGTCAGAGTAGCGTCTGTTATCTGTGCTAATTAATTAAGCCTGATGTAAACTTTTCAAAATAATAATCGTGGCTATTGTATCGTTAAAAATTATTTCTTTATTTTTTACAAACAAAATAAATATATTGAAAAGTATAAAAACAAAAAATATTATACTTTAGAAGTTAATCTAGTATAAAAAACGTTCCGTTTAGCATGACACACANTTGGTGTGTTCATTACACATAAAAACAAAAAATATTATACTTTAGAAGTTAATCTAGTATAAAAAACGTTCCGTTTAGCATGACACACAGTCCTGAGAAAAACACCACAGAAAAGTGCCAGTGCTGCCAGCTAAAAAACACAGAGCAACAAAAAAATATTGGAGTAGCCCAAGATATAGCCATAGATTGCCGCGCGACAGCACTAGCGAAAATTTAAATTTGTCGACTGGAATTCTTTCGGATAATCGACTTTCGGATAAACGACGCTCTACTATATTACAGTATTAATAAAGTGTGTAATAAATTTGAAAATTGTCATATTTCCTTCCTGGTCTTCTTAGCTTTCTGTTGAAATGCCAAGAAATTCAAGAAATAGTCATTGCTGGATTTTCACATATTGTAACTTTCTATTATTTTTTTTGTAGACGTTATATTATATTTACTCGTGTTTCTGGAAGTAACGTGTTTGGAATTGATGATGTGAAGCATTTAGTTTTTGTCATTAAAAATATTATTTAACTCCTCTGAACATTTACTGACAGTTCTTGTATCTGTCACAACCCTAATTATTGCTTGAATCACATTAATCAATTTTCCGTCTTACTGAGTGGAGCAGGGGATTTTTCGTCTTACTGAGTGAAGCAGAGATAAACATATTTTAGCATATCTTAAGAAATTAACGAAAAAGTTACAACTTCCTTTTCATCTGAACTTCGATTAACTTAAAAAGACAGACCTTCAAATGACTTGTTTGCCTGTTTAGTCAGATACCCACGTCATTAAGTATTAGTTCCAAAAAAGAACGAGCAATTATTTATTGTGACATTGTTACAATGCCGGGCTCTTTATTTCAATTTAGTAGTGGCTTGCCCCTGTACATCATATGTTTCTTATAGCAATGGAGTCGTGCCAGTGATGTATTCAAATATTTTTCCACCTTTCTGGGATAAATATTTGAATTGAAATAACATGACTTTCGGTTGGCATCGAAAGTTCTAATATAGTTAAGTGGGTCATCCTGCCAATAAGGTTTCTTCTATCTATCACTGCTCTAAAGATTAAGAAAATACAGTCAAACAACAGTGAGGATTTATAGATATACAATTATTTTCAAACTGTAGCCTAATGACCTGATCTTAATCAGGGAATTACTGTATATTAAAAAATTACATTCATTATACAGTTTATTTGGCAAAACTCTGCTCTTATCTGATAAAGTAAACATTGAATTATTTTTTATATAAACAACACATTTACAATTACACATTGACCTTTTTTTGAGAAACTCGAATGTTATAAATTAATTTATAAAAACTGAATTTTCTTATCATTTAAATTAAATTCAAAAATGAACTCGATTACTTTAAACAGTTAAATGTAGTTAATAATGATGCGATGGTTTATAAAAATTGTTTTGGAAATAAATTTAATGAATGTACTCAATTTTGTCACACATTTATTAATTTTACTAGAAATTATGTAAACAATAAATTATTTTCATCATAGTTCGACTAAATTTTGATTATCTCTATGAAAATAAAATAATAAATTGAATTAATTGGTCAATAGCTTCTTTTAATATATGAAATAATTTATCAATATATATTTATCAATTTTTATACTATCCATCGCTTTATATGTAGTGTAATATTTTAAGTATGCTAAAGATATAAAAATTTTTTATATAATATCAGTAACAAATCTTTCTCTTATCATCATGATTAAAATGTTTTATATTAAGGTTGATGAACGTAAATAACTGGAAAACCCTTTACACTTTGACATGCTAAGAATTTTTATGTGAGATAGATGTATAGATTTCATAACTTATGCTGTAGACTTGGTTTATAGCTCTTCTCAGATGCGAGATATTAATACAAAATGGAGAAGAAACAGAAAAGTAACCCATTCGATTCAGCTGGTGTTTTTTCTCGTGCGTTTTTCTGGTATGTAATGTTATTTACACTATTTAACAATTGTTTAATAAACTATTTAATAATGTAACTTTAGTTCTAAGCTAAAGGTGCAAATTTAAAAAAAAAAAAAAAAAACTTATTTTTATTTTACCCAACTTTGTCATTTATAATGAAAAGAAAGTATGATAATCAGTCAAAAATGACCCTTCTCAATAATTTTACACATTTAGACTCAAGACACCACGAAACGTCGAGAAATTCGGAAAAGGAGTGTTTTTCTGTATGTATAGTTATCAGTGTGTATGTATGAGTGTGGCAGAAATTTGTTAATTCTGTTTGAAGCTAATTAAACTTTGTACCTTAGTTAAATTTTCTCTGACATTTTCCCAGATTTGATTATTGTGGGTTGATGCTATTAACTTTTAATAAATAAAGGTTGACTGGGTGAAGAGATAATGAGTGGGCGAGTGGTCTCCATTGCCGCTCATCGTAGTGGTGACCAGACCCTAAAGATTGGGAGGTTCGTCTTGGGTTCGCGCCACGGTCGGACAGACTGGCTGGATGGAGTTTTCCGGGTTTTCTCCTTGCCTATAACGACTGAATAGGAGGCCAATTCCCCATAAAAGTCCTCCCGGAAGGCATTTATTTCCCGCGCGTACGTATGGCTGTTCGATACAGCCGGCTAATCGGTCGCCTAGCGATCATACACATACACAAGTCTACTCGGAGAAAGAGCCTACATTGAGCTAAAATCTCCATATAAACACCATCGAAGAAGAAGAGATAATGAAGATTGTGTCATTTTTCAAGAAAAAATTAATGACGAATTAACTCGCTATTAGCATTAATAATTATTTTTATTTAAAATTCTTAACCTTATTCTGAAAAATAAGTTTATTCGTCAATTAATAATAATTAAAAATATAAAATGTTATATTTTAATACAATATTTTAATACAATAACAGATGGCGCCACCAAATGTTACCGGAAAAAGTAAGCAACCCGTTGCTGGATTTTTTTAATGTTATTAGTTTTTATAGGTATATGCATGAATTTTCTATTATATTTGTATAGAATTTTTTAATGTTACTGAACGGGAGAATCAACAGCAATATTTGCTGTGTGCATGATATTGTGAAACTTATATTTTGATAAGGACATGTACTGTACCTGTCAGAAATTGGAAAGATTTAATATTTAAATAATTTCTGTGTCAAATTCGTTATACGTTATTATATTCCATATTGGGTTACTTTATATTATATTCGTATATAATATACATAATAATTTTAGTATGCGATTTTTCAACAAACGAAAGTTAAATTACTGACAATTAACAATATTTCACNTAATATTTAAATAATTTCTGTGTCAAATTCGTTATACGTTATTATATTCCATATTGGGTTACTTTATATTATATTCGTATATAATATACATAATAATTTTAGTATGCGATTTTTCAACAAACGAAAGTTAAATTACTGACAATTAACAATATTTCACATTTACATTTATTGATATATCGCAATGTTACTGCAAGGATAATTGGGAAAAGTATAAAATGACTTTTTAAATTAAAAAATCGTTGTCTTTTGAGTTATATGAAATCCACATGTAATTTATTTTATTTATACTCTTTTCGCCCTGTGGGCACTAAGAGGGCCTCTTATGGGTTCGGCCAGGCTAACAATGGGTCGACCGGGTGGTGAGGGAGGGGAGGCCTGACATATCCGATCGGACCACCCCCCGAAAAATACCTGGGTATTCCTTGACCTAGTCCGGATTCAGTCCCGAGTCGCCCAGAGTGGTGAGCTGCCACCTTGACTGCTCGGCCATCTGAACCTTCGTTCATATGTAATAATAATGAATAGATTAATTAAATACCTAAAGTCCAATACACTAATGCATGCAAATAAAATTTTAATTTTATAAAATAATACGAAAATGTAGAAACGTTGTTTTTGATCATTCAAAATAATGCAACTGAACTAAACTTTTATGACTCACAGAGCCGTAACTAGCCAGTCCTGTGCCCTGTGCAAGAATTTGCATTTAGGTCCCTTAATTTATTTGGTTACAAATACAGTAGAGCGTCGTTTATCCGAATCAATTAAAAACTGGGGTTGTTCGGATAACTTATTTTTTGGATAACCGATTATGTACGAAAAAATATATTAACCTATTTCATGTTGAAATTTTTCCCTGTTGCGTGTCGCTTCGCGTTGAATTTTCGTCGATGTTAAGCCTAACGTAAACTTTTTAAAATAATAATCGTGGATATTGTATCGTTAACAATTATTTCTTTATTTTTTNTAATATAAAAATCAGTTTCCTGAACTCTTTAGAATATATTATTAAGAAACAGTTTAAAGAATATTAAACTCTAAGAAAACGAAACTCTGATTATAATTCCTTAAAGTTTGTTTTTCATATGATAGATATAAACCATGCAGATAATTGTCAAGTCGCACCTATTTTTTTATGTCTAACTGTTAAATTAAAAAAAGTGATAATAGATTTATTATGAAAATCAGTTTCCCGAACTCTTTAGAATATCTTACTACAAACCAGAACAATGTGTTAGAGACTTTTATTGTATTGCATTGCAAATGCCTCAAAGTCAATAATCAGTTATATTAAGTAATACTAATAATAAATACAGTAGAGCCTCGATTATCCGACCCCCGATTAACCGACACCTCGGTTAACTGACCGTCCTAGTCGGCAAATTTCAAATGACCGCTAGTGATGTGGCGCTACAATATTTGGCTGTCTTGGCTACTGTAATATTATTTTTAAGTGTTTTAGCTGCAACACTCATTCGACCATGAAAGAAAAGCCAGTATTTAAACGAGGCTTAATTTTCTAATTTTTAACGATACAATAGCGAGGATTATTATTTTAAAAAATATTTGTTATGCTTAACATCGATGAAAATTCAACGCGAAGTAGGTTAATAGCGATATACTAATATACTATTTAAATGGGATATAATAATATACTACACTAATAATGGATTTTTTCATACTTTTCGGTTATCCGACTTTTCAATTATCCGATTAACCCCAGTCCTCAATTGAGTCGGATAATCGAGGGTCTACTATACTTTCAAAATTTGTTAAAACAAAATTCCATATCATATGAAACTAATTCAGAAATATTTTAAGATCATTTTTCAATATAACAAATACTTTAAAAAAGTTATAAAAAAATGTTATATATACATATTAGAATAATAAATCAATGAACTTGTAAATGTTTCGAAAATTTACTCTTATCTAGAGCTAGGTCTAAGTCAAACTTTTTATCAAAGGCAAACTTTTAAATAAAAATACTTACTTTCTGAAGATGATGATCTTCAGAGGTTCTTGCAAAAGAACCTCTGAAGATCAACATCTTCAGAAAGAGAGTTCTTGCAAAAGAACTCTCTTTCTGAAGATTCATAAGAGGTTCTTGCAAAAGAAGTTCTCGGTGAGGTATCGAACTAGTATTTTATACGCAGTATTTATATCATCTCTTGACTCAAAAACAGAGTGAAAAAATATTTCAAATTAGCAATTTTGAAAAAAAAAAAAAAACTTATATATGTTACCGCTAAAGCTCGAAAATCGTTAATCTGCAGATTACCTAGTTAATCTGCAGATTAACTAGGGTGATCCGTTAAAGTTGTGAAAATTGTTTCATTTCTCAAATTACCTAGATAATGTGCAGAGTATCTAGGTAATCCGCACATTACGTACTAGGCACTCGGTAAAGTGAAAATAAGATCTTTTCCACAAATAAATGTACCACAAATAGATGTGCTTGTCGCAAAAACCAATCGATATGAAATTCATTGTCACCAATCTTTAGACTGCACAATGGGATTATGTTACTTATGATGGGTAAAATGGTGGTTCGTCTCTAATTCCAGCAAAGAGAAAGGAAACAGTGAGGACGCACGTTCAAACCTAACCTAACCTATTCTAATAATTTGATTGGTAATAATTATGGTAATTTATTAGAATAAGTTAGGTTAGGAGAGAACGTGTGTCCCCACTGTTTCCTTCTTCTGTTTGCTGGAATCAGAGACGAGCCGCCATTTTACTCACCCATAGGTAACATTATCCAATTGTGCAGTCTAAAGATTGGTGACACTGAATTTCATATCGATTGGTTTTTGCGACAAGCACATCTATTTGTGGTACATTTATTTGCAGCAAAGATCTTATTTTCACTTTACCGAGTGCCTAGTAGATAATTTGCGGACTACCCAGATAATCTGCACATTACCTAGGTAATTTGAGAAATAGAACAATTTTAGCAACTTTAACGGATGATCCTAGTTAATCTGCAGATTAGCTAGGTAATGTACACATTAACGAATTTCGAGCTTTAGCGGTAACATATATATAAATACAAAAATGAAATTCTTATATATATATCAATATTTTTAAATTATTATTGAAAATTAACTGTTTTCAATTCATTTTTAAATATCCTGTTATTCAAGGTATGGTCTAAAAATATTAATATATATAAGAATTTTATTTTTGTATTTATATATATAAGTTTTGTTTTTCAAAGTTGCTAATTTGAAATATCCTTTTTCCTCTGTTTTTGAGTCAAGAGATGGTATAAATACTGCGTATAAGAGACTGGTTCGATACCTCGCCGAGAACTTCTTT